AGAGAGAGAGAGAGAGAGAGAGAGAGAGAGAGAGAGAGAGAGGAGTGGCTCAAGGTGGCCGATTTAAGGGATGGGGGAGGAAGATCGTAAAATGTGGAAAGAGATATAGATTGCTTAAAATACCAGCAAGGAGAATGCTGAGGAGGAAGAACTTCAGGAGGCGAAAGGCATACCTTAAGTGGTGGAGGACATGAAGGAAGCCGGAAATTGGGTGGGGTCAAAGGGGAAATGGCAGGGAAGGAAGGGCGTGAAGGGGAAGGAAACGCTCGAGGAGGAAGAGTGCTAGGTAAAATGTGTGTCTCTCTCTCTCCCTCTCTTTCTTGCGCGCGCACCCTTCTTGAGCTCACGAAAAGAAATGCAGCGTTTGGGTCCACCGGAAAAAGAAAAAAGTAATCCACTTCTTAGGTTGGGCGTTATGAAAGAAGGAAGCCAAAAAAAAAAAAAAAAAGGAAAAAAAAAGAAAGAAAGAAGGAAGCCCAGTCAAAGGGAGGAAGGAGAGAGGAAAGACGTTGGGGGAGGAATGGGGGGAGGAGGTCAGGTGGAGGTCGGGCGAAGGAAGGAAGGCGAAGAAGGAGGTCAAGCCGGGTGGAGGATTGAGGGAGGGAGGAGGGAGGGCAGAGGTTGGCTGGAGAAAGGAGGGAGTAGGGAGGGCAGAGGTTGGCTGGAGAAAGGAGGGAGTAGGGAGGGCAGAGGTTGGCTGGAGTAAGGAGGGAGTAGGGAGGGCAGAGGTTGGCTGGAGTAAGTAGGGAGGGAAGAAGGGAGGCAAAGGTGGGGAGAGAGAGAGAGAGAGAGAGAGAGAGAGAGAGAGAGAGAGAGAGAGAGAGAGAGAGAGAGAGAGAGAGAGAGCAGGAAGATCATGAGGAGTACGAAGGAGGGTCAGTGGAGTGGGGAGGGAGGGTTTGCATAGTGAGGGTGGAGGGTGAGCACGGCGGGGGAGGAGGATCGGTGCACTGGGGGAGGAGAGTCCTTACAGTTGGAGAGGAAGATAGGCGCAGAGGGAGAGGAGGTATGGCGAAGGGAGCAAGGAGCCTGGGTGGAAGGTGGGAGTAGTTTGGACGGATCTCTCTCTCTCTCTCTCTCTCTCTCCCCGCATCCACCCGATCTCGTCCATCCTTCCGCCCTCCCTTCACCCACTCTTCTCTCTCTCTCTCTCTCTCTCTCTCTCTCTCCCCCCCACCAGCTGATCCCCTCCGACCCTCCTTTCCGCCCTCCCTCCACCCAACCTGCTCTCGACCTCCCCACGACGTCCGTCCAAACTACTCCCACCTTCCACTCGGCCTCCTTGCTCCCTTCGCCATACCTCCTCCCCCTCTGCGCCTATCTTCCTTCCCAACTGTGAGGACCCTCCTCCCCCAGTGCACCCACCCTCCTCTCTCTCTCTCTCTCTCTCTCTCTCTCTCTCTCTCTCTCTCTCTCTCTCTCTCTCTCTCTCTCTCTCTCTCTCTCCCTCCCTCCCTCCTTACTCCAGCCAACCTCTGTCGTCCCCTCTGTCCTCCGCCCGACTTGACCTCTTGCATCCCCTTCCTTCCTCCGTCCGACCTCCTCCCCCCATTCCTCCCCCCATTCCTCCCCCAATTCGAGCTCTTTCATCTCTCCTTCCTCCCTTCGACTGGGCTCCTTTCTTTCGTAACGCCCGACCTAAGAAATGCATTACATATTTTTGTATTCTTCCTGTGGACCCAAACACTGCACTTCTTTTCGTGATCTTAAGAAGGGTGCCCGCGCGCAAGAAAGAGAGGGAGAGAGAGAGACACGCATTTCACCTAACACTCGTCCTTCCTTGCCAATTCCCCTTTCTCTCTGTCCTCCACCAGCCAAGGTCCTCCTTCCTTCATCTCCTCAACCACTTAAGGTATGCCTTCCGCCTCCTCGAGCTTTCCTCCTCAACATTCTCCTTGCTAGGTATTTCAAGCGATCTTTATCTCTTTCCACAGTTTATGCTCTTCCTCCCCTATCCCCTACACCGGCCACCTTGAGTCAGTCCTCTCTCTCTCTCTCTCTCTCTCTCTCTCTCTCTCTCTCTCTCTCTCTCTCTCTCTCTCTCTCTCTCTCTCGCTCGCTCGCTCGCTCTCTTCCTTTCTTTTTTGTGCGCTCATCCGCTCGCCCTTATTCAAATCGAAAACGAAATGGCGTGTTGACGTAAATTTGGAAATAAAACGAAAAAGGAAATGCACTCTCTATGTCGGGCACACAGAAGGGAGGCAGGAGGGGGGGAGGGAGGACAGGAGGGAGGGTAGGGGGAGGGCCGATTGATAAGCTAAAACCACCAGAGGATGGAGGGAGGGAGGAAGAACGGTGGGCCGAGGGGGAAGGGGCGAGGGAGTAAGGAGCGGAGCCGAGGGAGAAGGGCGAAGGCAGGAATGGAGGGAGGGAAGAGGATAGGCCAAGGGAGGAGGGATGGGGATAGTGTCTCCCTCTCTCTCTCTCTCTCTCTCACACACACACACACATTGAACAACAAAACGCGGCGAATACATCGATCGGGAAGAAAAAGACAGACGAAATTCACTCTCTTGGTCGGGCGCGAAGAACGTAGAAATGAGGGGAGGGGGGCAGAGGGCTAAGGGAGGAAGGAGGGAGGGCCGAAGGAGTAGCAAGGGCCACCGGAGGAAGGGAGGAGGGCCGAAGGAGCAGGAAGGCCCATCGGAGGAAGGAGGGAGGGCTGAGGGAGGAGGCGGCCATGGGTGGAAGAAGAAGGGAGGGCCAAGGGAGGAAGGAGGGAGAGAGGAGGGAGGACCATGGGAGGAAGGAGGGAGAGAGTACAAGGGACGAATGCTGGAAGAAGACCCGGATGGGAACCGGCCGAGGATACGGGCCAGATCTCATTGGCAAAGAGGATTGGAAGAAGTGTCCGAATCTGGACCGTGTTCCACGCAGAGGTGCAGAAAAGTAGATCAATCACAATTTTTCTCACTTGTCTACAAACACGTCCCCATTCAGACACTTACTACAATCCTCTTTGCCAGTGGGATCTCGCCCTACCTCAACCTGCCTGCAATCTGGACTGTTGGGCCTGAAGTACCAGGGGGGGATGGCCCGAAGTACCGTCTTTGGAACCGTGTCAAAATCCAGGCCGTCGGTGCGGTAGGACCCAACGGCCTATAGATCCCAGATCTATTACATAATTTCGAAGATCTGGGCCGTGAGCCACTCACTACCTTCTTCCCCCTAATACAACGTACGGTCATTATAGATCGTATGTATTTGACGCATCTTTCAGTCTAGATCCAAGCTACAATGACCGTATGTTATACCTTTCTCGGCCTTTTGGCTAAGATCAAGTGTAGTATCTGTTCTGATCAGTTTAATATCTGATCCGTGGTCGGGGGAAGAAGGTAGGACATAGAACGGCAAGGATCTTAGATTTGTCACTTGTGTTGGTCTAGAGATGAGGTCAGTGGGGCCATGACCCAGCTTAGGCTGTCTTTTTTTTTTTTTTTTTTTTTTTTTTTTAATAATTTGGACCATTTTTCGATTTATGCGTGTCATCCTTGCGCAGGGGCTATGCTAATCTTCTCTGTATCGTTCCAATTTTAACGGATGTCCCGAAGGACACTTAGGCTGTCTTAGCTTTGTCACTTGTGTTGGTCTAGAGATGAGGTTGGGGACCCCACAATTCAACTGGATGTGTACTGAGGCCATGACCCAGCTTAGGCTGCTGATACTTGAAACGGGCGCAGCGTCGTCCGCTTTCAACCTATTTCATCAAAATCCAAAAACGTTGTGGGGTCAAAATTTTGATGAAATAGGTTGAAAGCGGACGCTGCGCCCGTTTCAACAAAATTCTCCGCCCCCCCCCCCAAAAAAAAAAAAACATTAAGCGCGATCAAATTTCATCCTTCCGCTTATAGTTGTGCATCCCCTATCCTCCTATCCTCTGTACTTCTTACCGCATCAGATGACGTCATCACCGTTGAAGGCAAAGCAATGCAAAAAGAACGCATGCCATACCACATCGAATATAGAAACTGACTTCTCATGACATTAATCACAGGATTCACAGCAGGCGGAGGAGAAGAGGCGTAGCCCCACCTCCTTCGCACATGGCCATAGCCAAAACAAGGCTCGTCTTTTTTCTAAAGTCTTTCTTTCTCCGCCCTCCCTCCTCCCTCCCCTTCCTTTCTGCGCTCGAGCTCCTCCTGACCTCCTACCTCCCTCCTCCCTCCTCTCTCCGTCCGTCCTTCCTCGGCTATTCCTCCTCCCTCCCTCCCTCCTCCTTCCTCCCTTGGCCCTTCGTCGTTTGCCCTCAGTCCTCCTTCCCTCCTCTCTCCCTCCTTCCTCCCTTGGCCCTTCCTCCTCGACTCTCACTCTCCTCCCTCCCTTCTACCTCCCATGGCCCGTCCTCCTCCCCCTCCTTCCTCGGATGGCCCTTCCTCCTCCTTCGGCCCTCTCTCCTTCTTCCCTTAGCCCTCTGCCCTCCCTCCCTCCTTTCTACCTTCTTCGTGCCCGACCAAGAAAGTCAATTTCGTCTTTCTTTTTCTTCCCAATCGATGTATACGCCGCGTTTCGTTTTCTCGATGTGTGTGTGTTTGTGTGTGTGTGTGTGTGTGTTTGTGTGTGTGTGTCACACAGAGAGAGAGAGAGAGAGAGAGAGAGAGAGAGAGAGAGAGAGAGAGAGAGAGAGAGAGAGAGAGAGAGANGAGAGAGAGAGAGAGAGAGAGAGAGAGAGAGAGAGAGAGAGAGAGATTGCTACACGTCCACAAAGTGATTCTGACTCGTGCTGCTCGGTTTCTTCTCTGGCTTTTGCCATCCAGGAAATGCTCCAAGATGCACGTCCAGCATTTTGTCTCACATGACAAAACTACTGCCGACAATTTTCCCAGTGAATAGCGACTGCGAAGCGGACTGGATGCATTCATACATGATTACTGCATTCATACATTACGAGGGGATTGGATGCTGTGGCGCTCTTATAATTGAAGGCGACGTCCCACAACTCCCTCCACCCAATTCTTAATCACACCATCTCGACCCACTGAACTGAGACTCTGACACACACTCCCACGTGTACGCACTTGCACACGCACGCACTCACGCATAGAGATTCAAAACCCAGCAAGTAAGCACACGACTTACATATCACGAACATCCTCAGGAACACACAACAAACAGACTTCGGATCAGAATCTTGAGCAGACAGATTAAAGCGTCAACGTAAATTTTTTCTCAGAAAAGTTTTTAAGCTTTTGTCCTGCGACTTGTGTTTTGGTGATTTCACACAGTGCAAAACAAAAACCGACGCTGAGAAAGTAACAGCTTCCCAAAGAAAACGATCGCAGTAAAAGAACAAAAAAAGGTTTGAGAAAAAAAAAAGAAAAAAAAAAACAACAAGGTTGGGTGGTATTCCGGCCTGTTTTCTTGCAAGCGAGGCTGCAACAGGTCATCATCTGATTTGCAGTAAAATTGTTCGGTTCCCCTTCCCCCCCCCCCGCCCCCCCCCGCCCCAAAGGAGAAGACGGGGGCTTAAAGGTTGAGCAGCGAAGTAGTCCACGGCTGGAAGGACTATCAATGGAGGGTAGTATAGGTATAGCGATGGCGTCTTGCTCAGCTATGCAGTCTGCAGTGTTAGCCTCGGTATCCTTTCCTCCATCGCCTTCATCATGCTGCACGAACATGGAGCCTTGTGGCGCCAATGTGGCGTTCGCTAAGCCCAGCGAGCGCGGAGCTCACCTCACCTGGACATCTCATCACCACCTCCCCACCTCTGTTCGTTCCGGTACGTGCACACCTTTTCCAGTCACGTGCGTGAGGGAGGCTAGAAGAGGAGCGGGTGTGGGTGTGGGTGTTGGTCCAGCGACAAGTATTTACGAAAAACGATGGGTGAAGACGGCCGATCATCATCTTGCGACAGAAGCTCGTCGGTCAGCCCGAACTTGGGCGGTGGAGGTGGAGGGAACTATCTGCCGGAGACAAACACTAGCACCATCTCCAGAGTGGGAGTCGGCGCATTACCAACGAGTTGCAAGGCGGCGGACGCAACTGAAGGCGACGACAGGAAGAGGGGGAAGGGGAGCACTACGGGGCGAGGAAGAAGAAGAAGAAGAAGAAGAGGTTGATAAGAAAAGTACAGGCGATGAAGGATCCGCAGAGCGAACAGAGGGGAGCGGAAATGGAGCCAGCAAAGATACGAAGGGCGCCGGCTTGTCTTGGATCAGCCCTGATTGGTTGACGTCTCTTGTTCGAGGGTGCATGGGCGCGCTGCGCGGTCCCGACCAGTCTGGGATCCCAGTGGCCAATGCGAAATTGGATGACGTGCGAGACCTCCTGGGTGGCGCCCTTTTCCTTCCCCTTTTCAAATGGATGCTTGAATCTGGTCCGGTTTATCGTCTGGCGGCTGGGCCAAGAAACTTCGTTGTCATAGGAGACCCTCAGGCCGCTAAGCACGTACTGCGCAATTACGGAAAATACAAGAAGGGTTTGGTGTCTGAGGTGGCAGAGTTCCTATTCGGCTCGGGGTTTGCAATAGCAGAAGGAGAGATCTGGACGGTGAGGCGCAGAGCGGTGGCTCCTTCCTTGCACAAGAAATACCTGGGGACTATGGTGGACAGAGTATTTGGGGCGTGCGCAGACCGACTGGTTCAGAAGCTGGACCAAGCAGCGCTGGAACGAAGAGCGGTGGATGTGGAGTCCTGCTTCTCCCAACTCACTTTGGACGTCATTGGGAAAGCCGTGTTCAACTTTGACTTTGACTCTTTGCAGCGAGACAGCCCTCTCATTCAGGCTGTGTACACAGCTCTCAAGGAGACCGAGTCGCGGTCCACCGACATCCTTCCCTACTGGCAAATCCCCCTCCTGTGCCAATTGGTCCCAAGGCAACGGGAGGCAGCCGCCGCGGTTGCACTTATTCGTGCCACGGTGGAAGAGCTCATTGCCAAATGCAAAGCTATGGTGGACAAGGAAGAACAAGAACAAGGACAAGGCAATAACGTGGACGAAGATTACGTCAATGAGAGTGACCCGAGCGTGCTCCGGTTTCTGCTCCAGAGTCGCGAGGAGGTGTCAAGCCAGCAGCTCAGAGATGACCTCCTCTCCATGCTCGTCGCAGGCCACGAAACCACGGGCTCTGTCTTGACGTGGACCGTCTATCTTCTCGTTAAGAACCCGACCACCATGGCTAAGGTCAAGGAGGAACTAGATAAGGTTCTTGGGGATCGGCGAAAACCCAATCTGGAGGACACTAAGGATCTCAAGTACTTGATAAGATGCATCAATGAGTCCATGAGGCTTTATCCCCACCCCCCTATCCTGATCCGGCGGTCAAACGAGTCTGACGTTTTGCCAGGAGGTTACCGCGTGGGTGCAGGGCAAGACATCATGATCTCCGTTTACAATATCCACCACTCCCCCCAGGTGTGGGACAAGCCAGAGGAGTTCATCCCAGAGAGGTTTGACTTGGATGGGCCGATTCCGAATGAAACGAACACAGATTTCCGGTACATCCCATTTAGTGGGGGGCCTCGAAAGTGCATAGGGGACCAGTTTGCGATGCTAGAGGCCATCGTCTCCCTGGCCATCATTTTCCAAAACTTTGACTTTGAGCTTGTGCCCAACCAAACCATAGGCATGACGACAGGAGCAACCATCCACACAAGTACCGGACTTTACATGACAATGAAGAGGAGGGAAAGAGTAGCAGCATCCGCCGCTTCAGAGTTTGTGCTTGTGTGACATGATGTGCAAGAGGAGATAGGGGAGCAGCCTGTAGTAATTTGCTTGATTCGCAGTCCTCCAAACTTGACCACCATATTTATTTCAAATTGTTTGTACTTCTTTTTTTTTTTTTTTAAGATATTGTATTCCTCATACAAAGAGACAGGACAGGTCTTTCTCATGCATCCTATAATTCACCCTCCCCCCTCTCCCCCTCCTTCCTTACCCCCCCTCCGCTGCCTCCCTCCTTCCTCTGTCCCTAACTAACAAGAGGCTGGCATCCACCTAGCCCATGTGGGTGAATGGTTCACACATGTAACTGTTAAGAAACAGATCATGAGTTTGAATCCTATGAAGAGGCTTGCAGCCACAGGTTCTCCTTGCCAACCAGCACTGACAATCCTCTCTGGTCCGTACGCGTACGGCACCCCGTTCGTGTATGGCCGTACGAGTCCACATGTGTAAGCTTCCTAGAATGGCAGGGGTGCGGTGCGGAATGTTTTTATTTTTTTTCGGTGTCGGAGAGTTAGTGTCCCTATACACAGTATATGCAAAATTGACAAGAATCATGTTTTCCAGGGGGTGTATGGCATAAAACACCCCTTGACAGAGCGCAATCTATTTACGTAGGAGAGGGAAAAGAAAAAAAAAAGAAAAAGGCCATGGAGGAAGGATGAGGGAGAAGGAGAGAGGAGATTGATTAATTGATTGATC